CCGCGGCTCAGAATCCAGCCTGGATCACGGAGCTCGGCGCTTCCAGGGCTGTGGATGACACTGAGGGACTTACTCCTCCCTCTGGCAAACGCAGAGGACGCTCAGTGCTTTAYCCAGGGGTGGGGATGAACCTCGCTCCCCAATTTCCCCTCTGGGCTTTGGAAGCTTGAGCACCTGGAATTTCCCCCCAGGCACCGGAGGGAGATGCAGCAAAAGAGGGATTGAGCCGGGAGCTGTCCCTGTGTCCGTGTAGGATGTGGGACAAAGCCACCCTTGGGAATCAATGCTGCCTGCTCGGGACGGCCTTGGCTGGGTGTTTGTGCCTCCCTCTCCAGCACTGGAGCCATTTTTAGACTGGAGCCAGGAGAAATCAGGGAATCAGCATTGGTAATTAAATAGTGATTAAATATTTATGGGCAGGCTGCAGCGAGGGGTGGCTGGGGCTGGGGTGAGAGGGGGGTTTGGCTGGGAGATGCAGGCGGGGGGCTTTTGGGGGCATCACAGATGTACTCTGCCCCTGGAGATGGATCCCTGATCCCCCAGAGATGGATCCCTGACCCTCCTAGAGATGGATCCCTGCTCTCCTTAGAGATGGATCCCTGCTCTCCTTAGAGATGGATCCCTGCTCTCCTTAGAGATGGATCCCTGCTCCCACTGTAGATGATCCCTGCTCCCACTGTCCCCACTCCCAGCATGTTCCTTTTCCTATTCAGACATGAATTGCCATGAGATCCTTGCCATGCTCGAAGTTTTGCCGGTTCAGGGTCAAATCCARGGGCAGCAGCTCCCTGTCATGGGTGGCTGGAGCACCAGAGGGGGACAGTGCCAGGGGCAGCGATGGAAGGTCCAACCAGAAGGGAATGGCTGGCACCAGGAGATGCTCCAGGGAAACACCGGCTCTGCTGCACTTCCCCAGGTCAGGGCACTGGAACCTCACACATTTATTTGGGAATCAACATCATTTGCTTGATTGGTGTTGATTTCTGCTGGCAGCAATTAGCTCGTGCAGTGAATGGCCAAGCTCGCCGTGGCTGTGGCCCCCATTTGTTGGTTTGAGCTCTCCGTGTCATTGTCCCTCTCCTCCAGCTGTCTGCAGGGACAGCCTGGCTGCTGCCTGAGAGGATCCTGGGATTGTGCTGGGAAAAGTGGGGAGGAGAAGGATTTTATTGCCAAAAGGCAAGAGGAAAGGAAGCGTTGGGAGCTGGGAATGTTGGCTGCCTCTCCAAGGGGTGTTCCCATGGGAYGTGTGAAACTCAGATGGAATGAAGCTTCAGGGTTTAGGGACCAGCCAGGGAAACTGGGGAGTCCCTGCACCCCTCTCGTGGGGGCTGTTCTTTGCAGAGGGCTCCTTTAATGTGCAAACATCACCCTCTCCTCTTCCCYGAGGAAGCCGTGTCCCAGTGCAGGAGCCCTGGCCTCACCCATTCCATGAGGATGGAAATATCCACGTGGAAATGAACATGTGTAAAGGATTGCCTAGAGCTGGTCCTGGCTTTAACTGGTGCCCAGAGATGTTTCACTGGTGCCACCGTTTGCCTGCACTGATGGTTGGGTGCTCCAGCCACCAGATTGTCCCTTCCCATGTGCTGGACCTTGAGCATCATTTGGGGTCTGGGGTTTTGGGGTAAGAATCCTGCCTGGGCAGGGGCAAGGTAGCCACCAACTGCCACTGGATGTGGGAAACTGTGTCCCTCTGTTCCCCCTCGTGGGGCCTGGAACCCCCAGGAATTCCTTTGGGAATGAAATGGGTTTGTGCAGGCAGGAGCTCAGYGCCTCCATGGGCAGGGCTGGGGTCTGGGGTCCTTGAGGCCACTGTCACCTCATGGCAGAGGTGGAATTCAGGGGTCTGTGTGACCCCTTGGGCAGCTTCAGCCCTGCTTGGCTCTGGCTGTTTGTACAGAACCAGTAACGGGGCACCAAGGGGACTGGGGGGACTGGGGGTGCCAGGAGGGGCTGGGGGAAAATGGGRATGGGTTGGGAGTGTGCTGGGGATGGACTGGGAAATGCCAGGAGGGGCTGGAGGATGGTGGAGATGGATGAGGGACAGCTGGGGACAGACTGGTGGGATGCTGGGGAGGAGCTGGGATGTGCACGGAAGGACTGGGAGGTGCTGGGGAAGGTGTTGGGGGTGCTGGGGAGGAGTTGGGGGGATGCTGGGGATGGGTTTGGGTGTTGGGGGGCACTGGGGAGGAGCTGGGGGTGCTGAGGATGGGCTTGGCTGTGCCTGGAGGCACTGGGGGTTTCCTGCACTGGAGCAGGATGCCAGGCTGGCACAGGAGAGCGGCTCTGCTGGATCCAGGCAGGGTTCTGTGCAGGGGCTCCATCCACACTGGCTCCTCCTGGTGCTCTSAGGGGTTTCTGGTGTCTGAGGTTTTCGGGAGCACCTTTGTGCTTTGGGCTCCGGAGTCCCACATGGTCTGAGCTCAGTGCTGGGGAGCAAACAGGGTTTGGAGCTCCTGAATCCGGGGATTTTGGTGAATGGTTCTCCCTGGAGATGGGAAAATGAGGTGGGAGAGCTGGGGGAGGCACAGGGACTGTCACCCATCCTCCAGTGGGATTGGCTGGAGCATGACCTGGGAGGAAGAGGCACAAAGCAGRGAGGTTTGGGAAGGGCTGAGCCCACAGGAGGTGCTCTGCCAAAATCCCTGCAGAGATGCTCCAGAAAAGGCAGTGGGATATTTCTCCATGCCCACAGGGTGCCCTGGGGAAATTCCTGGGTGCCAGGGACACGCCTCTGGGGTCTCTTGGAGCATCTCAAAGCATCTCTGAACAACTCTGAGTGCCAGCGAGGGCTCAGCACCCAAACAATCCCCTCCAGGGCAGGAGGATGGATCCCGGGCTGTGCAGGAGTCTCTGTGTCCCCCACTCATGGGCAGGGCGTGCATTCACCACCAAGCATCCCTTGCTCCAGGATGGCCCATAAAACCCTACAAACTCCTGTAAAACCGAATTCACTTTAGGCTGGGACTTTAGGAAGGTAAGGGACTTTTCCTGGTGGCATTAATGGAGCTGTGGATGTTGATGAAACAGGCTGATGGTAATTTTTAGTTTTTACACATAAARTGTCCACGTGGGGTGGTTTGTGCTGGGATTTGGAAGCACCACTTAGTTCTTGTGCTCCTGGAGATGATTTGTAGGCTCTGGAATGCTGGGAGGAATGATTTGGAGATTTTGGTGCATCCCAGGGCCAGGCTCTCCTCCTGGAGCTCTGTGCCGTGGCTGCTGCTGCTGTCACCTGTAGGATGCAGGTGGCCCAGGGCAGGAGGTTTGTCCCTGCTCTGGCTKTGGAGAAATCCCCAGTGGTGGCTCCTGGGGCCACCTTGTCCCTGTCCAAGGTGCAGGAGATGGCTCCAGGTGCCACACCCCGGGACTGGCAGGATGTGGGACCCGACCCCCATGCTGTCACCAACCCTCTGCCTCTGAGCCCTGCCCCCTGTCCCCTGCCGGCTGTGGGGTGTCCCCAAAGCCCCCAGAGACCCCAGTCCCCATCACAGGCAGGAGGGAAGGAGAGCTCGTGTCGCAGATGCCGGAGCTGGGCAGGGAAAGCCACGCTCCCGCTGTTCCCTGGGACAGTCCCGCTGCTCATCCCAACCCATCAGATGCTGCAGCCTGGCTGCTCCCCCTTTTGGAGGCCAAATTCCCCCCTGGCAGGCTGCCCTGCCTGTGGGAGCACTCTGGGATGGGCAGGGCTGGCACAGGGGGGTGCTCTCCAGTGAAACCACTGGGGCTTCTCACGCTCGGGATGTGCTTAAMAACAAATCAAGGCCAGATTTCTGTTATTCGCTTTGAAATGTCATCTCCTGCTTCCCRAACCCACCTCAGAGCATGGCACGGGCTGGGATGTGGCTGCTGGGAGAGAGAGCTGCCCACAGGACCACGGGATGTGCAAATCCCACCCACCACCCGGCTGGGAGAGGAGAAAACACAGGAAAAAAAATGCTTTTTGATGGGAAAGTGTGGAAGTGACTCCTGAGGAGTGAGCAGCAGGGATGCGCCAGCGGTGCCTCACTCGCTGCCACCTCCCACTCCTTCAGGATGCTAAAAATATCCCGAGCCAGGGACGGACGCTGTGGCTGTGCCCATGGATATTTGCTGCTTTTTTTCCCTATTTGTGCTAATTCTGTGTCACTTCCAATCCTGTCCAAATGAAAGTGAAGGTGATTTCCAGAGGAGGAGGAGGAGGAGCTGCTCAGCTCTTGGCTCCAGGCGGGCAGTGCTCCTTAGAGATGTTCTAATCTGTTCATTTCAATCACTTATTTCAGAAATTAAAATAAATAAGKTTTTTTTTTTTTTAAATTTACAATTCAAAAAATGTTTTTAAACTACCTCAAATCAGGTGCTGGGACATCTTTCATGCCCAAAGCAGATTTTATGCAGTTGATTTGGGGAGGCCCTGGCACAGCTGTGGCTGCCCCTGGATCCCTGGCAGTGCCCAAGGCCAGGCTGGACATTGGGGCTGGGAGTGACCTGGGACAGTGGGAGGTGTCCCTGCCATGGCAGGGGTGGATTGATGAGTTTAAAGGTCCCTTCCAACGGAACCCATTCCATTATTCTGTGATTTGCACTTTGTCAAGGCTTTGGATGTGATGGGTTTGTGGGTGAGTGGTTCCTATGCTGGTCTCACTGTCTGAACCTTGCTCTGCTCGTGCTCACTCCTCATTTCCACTGTCTCAACCCCTCTCTCCAAGCTGAGAACCCAGGCAGGAAGGGCCCAGGCTCAGGAAATAAAGGGTTTTTTTAGGGTGACAGCAGCAAGCTTTTGCTCTTCCCTGACGAATCTTCAGGGACCGATTGGCTGTATCCCAGCTCTGCCCCAGCTCAAATTGACAGCACTCATTTTTCCAAGTGAAAGGATGCACCGAAGCTGTTAAAAACCCTGGGAAAAGGAATAAATGATTCAGTTGTGATGGTTTGAGTGAGCCTGAGCAGCTGTGGTGCAGGCCCTGGGCTCTGGATGCTGCGGGTCCGTGGGCCGAGGACGGCGGGTTTGTGTCTCCTGCATGCCGGCGCTGCTCCCTCGGGAAGGTGGCCGATGCCGTGGGCTCTGGAGCGGTAAATCCGTCTCCAGCGAGCAGCAGGAAGGGCTCTGGCGAGGCCCCGGGCGGCAGCTGCCGCGCTCCCATCCCGTGGCTGCCCCCGTGTGCGGAGACTCAGCCGTGCGGACGCGCTGTCCTCGGATCCGGAGGGAGTGCGGAGCCCAGGGAACACCAGGGCCCGGGGAGCCTCTGCACAGCGCTGCCCCTTCCTTCTGCTCCCGGAGCCTGGAGAGCCTCTCCACAGCGCTGCCCCTTCCTTCTGCTCCCGGAGCCTGGAGAGCCTCTCCACAGCACTGCCCCTTCCTTCTGCTCTGCGGAACCCGGGGAGCCTCTGCACAGCGCTGTCCCTTCCTTCTGCTCCACGGAGCACGGAGATCCACGCTCCTGCGTGGACACAGCGCCTTTCCACAGCGCTGCCCCTGCCCTCGGCGAGTTTCCCATCCCTGTTCTCCTGGGGGTAGCATAGAGATCGGGGGAGGTCAGAGGCAGCCCTGGACTGCTCTGGTACCTGGCAGTGAGCCATGGAGGTGCTCCACTGTTTCCTTCCTTAGGGGATGAGATGATGGCTGGTGGGACCAGAGATCCTAAATCTCCATCCTGATGGAAAAGCTGATCATGGGCTCCAAGGTGTGGACGGGGCACTGCTGCACGTCCCAGACCCTTCACCAGTGGTTTCTGTCTTCTCTTGTCTTGCAGAGCTGAGAAGACTGAGGTGTTGAGCGAAGATCTGCTGCAGGTGAGGCTCCCTGAGGCTGCTCAGGGCTGTCCCAGGGTGTCCACGGGTTCCTGGGCACCTCCCAGGGCTGCTGCACCCATCAGCAGCTCCCTCCTGTGCTGTGGTGTCCCAGGGCRGTGAGAGGGGCTGCGAGGAGGAAGGGGAGGGGGGATTGGGAGCATGGGAATCAGCACTGCCCCCTCCCACGAGCCTCCCAGCCCTTTCCCAGCTGGGGTTTCAGGTCAGCTGGRATCGGATCCAGCCTGGTCTCTGCCAGGATGGCACCCTGATCCAGCAGCCAGATTGCAGCTCCATGTCCTGCCCTGGGGGAAACATGTTGACAGCAGGGACAGTTCCCAGAGCTGCTGGCTTGGCTGGGTGATTCCAGCAAAACAGCTCAAGCCAAAAGCCCCACGTGGGCCTTGGAGCAGTGGTTGTGATGCTCAGCTTGTGTCCCCTGGGGACATCTCATCTGGTGCTCTTTGTTCCCAGAGCAGGGAATCCTGCAGGGAGGGACAGCAAAGGAACGTGAATTCCCAAATCCATCCCTGAATCYGTGGAACCCCAGAATGGGTTGGGTGGGGACCCCAAAGCCCATCCCATCCCACCCCTGCCATGGCAGGGACACCTCCCACTGTCCCAGGTCACTCCCAGCCCCAATGTCCAGCCTGGCCTTGGGCACTGCCAGGGATCCAGGGGCAGCCACAGCTGCTCTGGGCACCCTGTGCCAGGGCCTGCCCACCCTCCCAGGGAACAATTCCTGCYCAATATCCCATCCATYCCTGCCCTCTGGCACTGGGAACCATTCCCTGGGTCCTGGCACTGTCTGTGACACCTKTGGGACATAATTCAGGGTGAGGGCAGTTGGGATTGCCCTGTGTGGGTGCATCCCAAAGGACCAGTAGTGATTAACCAGTTAATTGTCTAATTAACTCCAGTTTGAATCAGCTAAATGGGTGTGCAGCTGCTTGGTACCCTTCTGACCAATGATTCCACTTCCTTCCAGCATATACACAGACATGGATATATATGTGTATATATATATATATATATACACCTATTGTTTCTAAAATTTAATATATATGTATATACATGTCCACGTACATACAAGAACATGTTGCAGAGAGGACAAAGGCTTCTCTACCTCAGCCAGGCATGGTGGAGATCTATTATTTTTTAAAACATATTAAAATATTTTTAGATAGTATTTCACATGAAGTATATCCATATATATAGTATATTTTATTAGCAGAAAATTTTATTACAGTGGTGGAGAGCAGCTCAGCCTGAGTCCCACGTTCCCCTGACATTCAGCATTTCTCCCAGGCAGGGATTATTTCTTTTCTTTTTCCTCGGATCATTCCCCAAGATTTTGAACTGTGAGGATTACCTGCAGATTATTTGCCAAACTTTGAGCTTTCCATGTTTTCCCTGCGTGTCTCAGCTTTATGTTTCAGCAGATCTCGATTGTTTACAAAGCTGTGATTTATCCTGCTGAGTTTTGGGATGAAGCGCTCGATTCAATCAATGCAGAGGGAAATCTGGGGATTCCCAGCCCCGAGGGAGGGCATGGGCAGGGCTTGGCTGGGGTTAGCTCCAGGCCCTGCGAGGCTGCTCTGGCTCCAGCCCAGCCTTTTCCGGGGGTGGGATGGGGCAGCAGCTCCCAGCCCTGGGAAGGGGCTGGACTCCAGGCTGTTGCACCCCGTGCAGCAGCAATTCCAGTGATGGAAAAGCAACGAGTCCCCTCTGTCTGGGGGATCCCTGTGTGATGGGCGATGGGATCCTGGATAGTGGAACCAGTGGGTGATGGGATCTTGGGGTGATGGGATCCTGGATAGTGGGACCAGTGGGTGATGGGATCCCTCTGTGATGGGCGATGGGATACTGGATAGTGGAACCAGTGGGTGATGGGATCTCAGGGTGATGGGATCCTGGATAGTGGGACCAGTGGGTGATGGGATCCCTCTGTGATGGGCGATGGGATCCTGGATAGTGGGACCCATGGGTGATGGGATCTTGGGGTGATGGGATCCCTGTATGATGGGTGATGGGATACTAGATAGTGGGACCAGTGGGTGATGGGATCTCAGGGTGATGGGATTCCTGTGTGATGGGTGATGGGATCCTGGACAGTGGGATCCCAGGCTGATGGGATACCCAAATAAAGGGATCTCTGGGGGATGGAGTCCTGAGATGATGGTATCCCCATGTGGTTGGTTACCTGGGTGATGGGATCCCAGGCTGATGGGATACCCAGGTGATGGGATCTTTGGGTGGTGGGATCCTTGTGTGATGGGTGATAGGTAACGTACACTGGGGGGTGTCCAGTGTGGTCTGATCCCTCTGCGTGTACCGCAAGTGTCTCCTGGCTGTAGAGATCACCTCGGTCGGCACTCCTTTGGTGCCGTGCAGGAGTGTTAACCAACACCCAGGCCAGTGAAAGGCAGACACACACACCCCAGTGGGCTGGTAGTCCATATGTTACCAGAGACAAAGAAACAGAGGGCTGGATCACGTAGCTTATTCCAGGGGTTTATTCCCAAAGGACATCCGGAGGGGAAAGAGGAGGGGGCAGGATTATCTGGCCTCAGATATACACCTGGGGGCCAGTTACCTGAGAAGCTGGGCAGAGAGAGGAGCCAAAGGGAATACAATGACCAGTGGGGGAAGGGGTAGGTGGAGTGAGGGATCACATTAAGTCCAACCAGGGTAGCAGGATTTACRTATTCTTGGGAGGAACCATCCAGTTCCCAAGGGGGTTATCAAGATCTTTCCACCACCGAGTTCCAGCTGTCCCAGGGCTGTCTAGCCCTCCAGCATTCTCTGGGGTGATCTCATCCACCACAACAGATGGGATCCTGGATAATGGGATCCCAGGCTGATGGGATACCCAGGTGTTGGGATCATTGGGTGATGGGATACCCAGATAAAAGGATCCTGGGTAATGGG